AGAGATTATAATCTAGTTGAGGGAAGTCAGAGAAGACTTCGCAGATGAGGGCCCTGTGGTACATGTCTCTATAACCTTAATATTCGGACAAATAGGACTTATAAAATTATATTGACTAGAACTTTTCAATTTGAAAAGATCCACATTCTATAGTGCAAAAATTTTGGGCATGCCTGATAGTATTTAAAGTGTGCATCCTCTCAGTATGGTGACCTAGGGCCATAAAATCAGAATCCATTCAAAATGAGAATCGGGTTTGGCTTTTCCCAGAGGACAGTTGGCCATTTGCCCAGTGGTCTGTATAGTAACATACTTTTACTTTTCTAAGAAATAATACAGAGAGGAGTGCCTGGCTGGTAGAGCATGAACTTTTGATCTTGGGATTGTAAGTTTGAGCCCCACATTGGGTGTAGGGATTACTTAAAAAAAAAGAAAAAAGAGGGGCACCTGGGTGGCTCAGGTGGTTGAGCATTCTACTCTTGGTTTTGGCTCAGGTCATGATCTCAGGGTTGTGAGATCAAGTCCCGTGTCAGGCTCCACACTGAGCAGTCTGCTTGAGATTCTCTCTCTCCCTCCCTCTCTGCCCTTCCCCCTGCTCATTCTCTCTCTCTCTCTAAAATAAATGAAGAAAAGAGAAAAATAATACAGAGAGATCTTGTGTACACTTTACCCATTTTACCCACATCTTGCCAAACCGAGATACCAATATTGATCTTCCCTAGTTTAGGAAGGAGAGAAGGGCAGTAGGAGAAGAAACAAGAAGGAAGCAGTACTAATCTTTTGTCTGTAGAAACTCTGCATTATGGCCAGGTGTCAAGAAAATGGATTCATGTTCTCAGGAAATGTCCTGTTCCCTTGGCAGGAACAATGAGAACGTTTGTCTTATTCTCTTTCTCCTATATATGTTTTTTACCCTAACACTTAGGAAATGTTTGTAAAATACTTTAAATCCTTTCCAATGTCATATAAATATGAGAAGATGTCCAGAAGGATTACCTGGGGGCTTGAAGGGAAAATATCCATCTTACTGTTCTAAATATTCTAAATATCTGATTTCAAGGAAAGACACCCTTTGTTAGCTAAATGAATAAAAGGGGTCAAGGAAGGGATATTAATCTGAATAGATCTAAATTTAAGCTCACCCAGGACTTTGAAGGTTATCACCATGGTCTGGATCTAGATCAGTGTTTCCGACATCAGAAAGGAGGTGCCTAGGAAGGCAGAGAGAGGCATCCAAAGCCCAGGTGGATGATGACCTCTTAGGGGATGCTCTGTCCTTCCAGCCCCAGCACTGAAAAGAGGCTTCCCAAACAAACCCCAGGTCCTCAGAGTTTCAGTTTGATACTAGTGTGTTGAATGTTGACACCCAGAGAGATTAGGCACAGGCCGGGGTGATAATAGTGTCCACGTAGATGGCCCATCTAGATCCCTTGCTTCAGGGCCTCCCCAGTCTCTTAAAATCTCCATTAACTTCACCTCCACCTCACTCCTATGGCCCCACTCAGGGTCACCCTGACCTTACAAATCTCATTCTGTTCAAGCCTATAGTCTACCCTCTCCTCTCAAGTACCTAGGCAATAAAGCCCTCAGCTGTTGGCTTTCTGCGGTCTTAGGTCTTGTCTGCATTCAGGCAAACCAGCTAGGACAGCTTCTCTCCCTTGTAGCACCTTACTCAATGCTGTAGGGCTCAGTGTGGTCATCATCTGCCACCATGTATCCGTGTGTCCCAAGAGGCAATAAGTAGTGGTCTTACCTATTACATTGCTGCCACCTAGCAAGGCCCGCCTGATTCTGAGCCAGAGCTGGAGAGAGTGAGAGTCCACCAACTGCACCAGGCTTACCACCTCCTGCCCCTTGCAGACATTGACTCTCCTTGGTTCAGCCTCACACTCCTATAGCCATAGGGAGAAGTCATAACTGACACTTATCTTACAATCATGTGGACAAAGGTGGGAGGGGAAGTTTCCGGAAGAAAAGGATGTCGGGCTCCAGTCCCACTGGAGTGCAAATCTCTTGACCACTGCAGTGACTCAGGCTAGAGACAGGGTGGGCTCAGACCAGACTGGGCTCAGAGCAAGGTGGTGACAGTGACGGTGGACGTGATGAGAAGTGGTTAAATTCTGGATTTTTAAAAAAAGATTTTATTTATTTAGAGAGAGCATGTAAGGGGGGGGTTGGGCGGAAGGAGAGGGAGATAACCCCAAGCAGACCCGTTGTGGGGCTTGTTCTCATGACCCTGAGATCATGACCTGAGCGGAAATCAAGAGTCTGACGCCCCACCGACTGAGTCACCCAGGTGCCCCTGGATGTGTTTTTAAAGTAGAGCCAACAGGACTTCCTGACGGATTGGCTGGGATGTAAAAGACAACAGGCGTTCAATACGACCCTGCGGTCCCAAACCATAGTTCTTGTCTCATTTTAAATCCTACTCATCTGAATCTCTGATGTTCTCAGACGTCGCAGCACCCCCTTGTTTCTGAGGATCAGTTGCCCACCCCAGACTCTGCAATTAGCTTGTCATCTTCAGCTTTCTCTCTGCATGCCCCTCAGGTAGTGTTTTAATTCTCCTAGAAGTGAACCCTGTTTGATATTCTCTTAGTGTAGCTGGGCCTGAAGTTCATGTAACCACATGGCAGTGAAAACTGCTTAACATCTCTTTGAAATAAACCACAAAGGACTGGTGGTCTTCTTTGCCAGATGTCCAGCCTACAGCTTTTGCAGGGGGAGCGATGGGACTGCTCATAGCCGGTTTTACATCTGGAGGTCTCAATTCTGCCACCATCTCAGTGAGTGAAAGTCACATTATTGAGATTTCATTTCCCTGTCTATAAAAACTGGGTGGCTCAGCTTGAGATGAGAACTAACCAAGGGAGATAATGGATATATCTAAGCATTTACTATGTTTCGAGCTCTTTTGATATATATTTATAATTCTATATAAGCCCTATATTAAGCTCTTTTTACATAGCTATCTCATTTGATACTTATAAGATAGGTGCCATTATTACTTCATTTCACAGATAAAGAAACTGAGACTTAAGTAGGCTAAGTGACTTGTACAAGGTCACATAGTTGGCACATGGTTGGACCTGGCATTCCAACCCAGCTCTGTTGGATGCCAGGCTCCACTCTTAACCACTTCACTCATTTTCTTACATTGTATCATCTGTGTGTGCCTGTTACGTTCAGATTCCCAGATCCCACGCTCAGACCCTCTGACTCAGACTCTGAGGCTGGGCTGGGAAATCTGTGCTTAACAGGAGCTCTGGTGATTGATTCCTGAGCAGCCTAAAGTGTGGCAACAGCTGTATCTCCTTACATTGTCTCTGAGTGATTGTAAAGCATTCTGCTTGTGTGTGTACATAGTCCTGACAAAGCCTCGAAGCCAGGGTCATGTGCAGGAATCTCAATTCTAGGATGTCATGAATACAAACCAGCAGCTGATAGTTCTAACAGGGCAGCAACTCTCTGTACTTTCAAGTCCGTTGATGCATCCCTGTAATAAACCGTGTAATGGTCAGAATTCATTTGTAGCCGATATCCAGACTAGTTCACTTAAGCAAAAAGGGATTTTTCCTAGAAAAATAGGATATTAAACCATTATAGTATCTTTGGGAGGGCTGAAAATATATAGTAGTTGGATTGAGCATCCAAAAATGACTCCCAAAATCACAACGTAGAACTGAGCCTCAGAAGCTATTGCTCTTGCCATGAGCAGGAGGCTCCTTGAAAAGTGGCATGAGATGGGCGCCTGGGTGGCTCAGTTGGTAAAGTGTCTGCCTTCAGCTCAGGTCATGATCCTGGGGTCCCAGGATCAAGTCCCACATCGGGTTCCCTGCTCAGCAGGGAGTCTGCTTCTCCCTCTGCCCCCTCTCCCCCGCTCATGCTCTCTTTCTCTCTCTCTCTCACAAAAATAAATAAAATCTAAAAAAAAGATTTAAAAAAGAAAAGTTGCATGAGAAGAATAGAGGATCAAGATGGGGCCCTGGGTTTAGGAAGTGAGCAGAAGTGAAGTCCATGAGGGTGATCAGCAAGGAATAGTTGGGGAAACTCAGACACAGAAACAGAAGCCCGGGAAGCCGGGAGTTCCAGAACCCAGGAGTGGCCACATTATAAAGTACAGTAAGAGGGCCAGTGGAGGGGAGCTGGTGCAAGGTGAGACTAGCGAGTAGCGCTGACCTTGACAACCCGGTGACCTTTGCTAGATCTGTTGGTGAGTTTTACCAGCAGTTTCAAGGGGATGGTGAGGAAAGGAAGCAGGTGGGTGGGATGAAGAATAAATGGGAAACGAGCGAATGGAGGCAGCAAGTGCAACATGAACCAGGTTTTGAAAAGGTAAGTTGACATGGAAAGGAGATATGATTTATGGCCGGAGAAGATCTTGGAGTGGAGGGTGTTTTACTTGCTGTTGTTTTGTTTGTTTTTAGGTCAAGAGTAACTTGCGCATAGTGATAGCAGAGCCATTCGAAAGAGAAGTTACTTGATGGGTCAGTGTTCTGAGGGCAGAGAGCAAAGAGGTCAGGGCCTGAATGGAGGATTGGCCTGGAGTGCAGGCAGGACAGCTCATCTTACGGGTGGGGGAAAGGAGGTGATGCCGGGTACAGGTAGAGGGGCATTCCCAGCATGGGGTGAGTGCAGGAGCCATACTCGCGGCCATAATTAGAGTCCTGATTTTCTTCTCAAAGCAGATGACGTCATCTGCTGAGAAGGAAGACACCAGGTATCGAGTGTGGAGCTTGGAGGAGTTACAGGGTGGGAACAGTGGCTGCTAAGGACAAGTGAAGGATTGTCAGTCAAGGAGAGTGTCAGCCCAGATAACACTGAGGATCGTGAATTCCAAGTGGGGCAAACTGCCAAAATAGTGTATGATTTAGTATTTCACATCCTTGGACCAGGAGTGGAGAGGCGAGTCTTGGGACTACTCCAAGGATAATGGATGATGCTGGACCCCATGCCGCAGCTCTCTTAACTAAATGTGCTGTTTCCTGTTTGGGTGTCAGGTACCTCAGTCAGGAACCCTGAAGCTGTCCCACTTACAAGAGGGAACATACACCTTTCAGCTCACGGTGACGGACACCGCCGGGCAGAGAAGCTCCGACAACGTCTCGGTGACAGTGCTCCCCGCGGCCTTCTCCGTGGGAGGTGAGGGGAAGGTCCTTCCCTTGCATTCACAGTGGCTGGTAGATACCAGCTATTCACAGAAGAATGGTATTACACTGGCATTTTATATTCTGACTGCATTTCATGGGCTCTTCCGTTCTTTCTTTTTTTCTTTTTTTTAAGTAGACTCCACGCCCAGCGTGGAGCTCAACACAGGCTTGAACTCACACACTGAGATCAAGACCTGAGCTGAGATCAGGAGTCGGTCGCTTAACCAACTGAGCCACCCAGGCGCCCCTCTTCCATTCTGTTTTTGGTTGTTGTTAAATAAGAGTCTTTTCTAAAAATATGACAACAAAAATAGGCTCCATTACATTTTGGGCTTCATGGCACTGTTGGATTGGGGTGGAGGAGGCTCCAGGGGATGAGAATAGACTGTGTGAGCCACACGACCCTATAGATTCTTCATCTTTCCTGACTCGTTTTCACAAAAGACAATCATGTGGTTTTTTTAGGAGAGGATCTTGTTCAAAGAAAGGCGGTCTATTTGATATGTATGTTCAGAGAGTGCAGCTAAGAAGCGTATTTAAAACAAATTAAAATTAAAAAATTTAATAGTCCTTTTAAATTGTGCGTGTGTCAGTTTAAAAGGACTATTTAAAATTTTTCATGGACACATCACGCAGATACTCTCATAATATAGCTTTACATATATGCGATCGTTCTCATAATCTGTTGCACAATATAAACTCGCCCTTCTCATTTATCTGTGTTTCTTACTGTCCCAAACATCTACGTTTCTAAGACTAGCTCATCAAGTTTAAGAAATATACATATTGAACTTGAGAGCACTAAAAATATAGAGGTATTGCAGAGGGAACCCCCGCACAACTCACTTCTGGAGAAGTGCAGAGATAAGTGTGTATCTGAGGGTCTTGCCCTTCGGTCTGCAGCTACTCTGTGTCTGCAGGAACTCGGGGCTCTCTCCCAGGAGCTGTGCTAGGCACTGGGCGGATGGTGGTATGCTGCACAGACCCGGCCCCGGCCCCACGTAGCGAGCCTTCACAGTCGCTAGCCTCGGCTCTAGTAAACCCACAGCATGTCTTTGCCATCCCTGACAACTCAGTAATTAGATGGTAATTAAGCCAGCAGCTGGAAGAATAAGTGTAAAAGATTGGAAAATGCCTGTATGTCACCAATCTTGTCTTCCATCCGACATAGGTCAATGTGCATATGGGAAACAAAGCGAGATTTTAGAATCCTGAGAACTTGGCAACCTTGATAATTTGCCTTCCGCAGGGACAGAGAACACAAGCAGCATTCTGAATTTGGCTGGCTGACTCCCCGTCCAGCCAAGGTTCCAGCGTCCTGTGAGGAAGGAGGGTGACTGCCCGGGGACTGGCTGGCACCAAGCTCCTGCCCACCGCTGCCCTCTGAAGCCCTGACAGCAAGCACGAGGAGCGTCCGGGCCAGGAATCTGATCCAGCCCAGATGCCAGCAGGACCGCTGACTTCGTGCAGCTCCTAGGGACAGCCAGAAAGTTACTCAGAACAGTTTTGAGGGGCACCTGGCTGGTTCAGTTGGAAGAGTGTGTGACTCTTGATCTCGGGGTCGTGGGTTTCAGCCCCACACTGGGTAGAGAGATTACTTAAAAAAAAAAAAAAACTTTGAAAAAAGAAAACATTTGGGGGTACCTTGGCGTGCTGGGCATGCACCAGGGCCATTGGAAACACGGGCTCGGCTCCAGCCACTCACTCCCTGTGCAGGACCGCTGAGCCCAGACAGCTGTCCCCCTGGGATCCAGGGCTCACCTGGGCAAGGAGCGAGTCACGTGCTGATTCTTGGAGGAAAGAGCTCATGGGAAGAAGGCAGGAATACCCTGCTATCCCTACAGAAGTTGGAAAGGGATTGCTTCTGTACAACCAAGGTGCCTGGGGGGAGGAAGGGATGTAAGTGTAGGTATACGCCAATGACTAACGCTGCACCAGCCTGGCTTATTTACTCAGACCAATTTTCCAGGGCTCCAAAGGTAAATGACCAGTTGTACATTTCTGGCCTTTCTCCGAGATGATAATAAAATGTATTCAAAGTGGCAGAAAGTTACGTGAATCACTTTTGATTACTGAAAGGCCACTTGGATATAGGTGTTATGTATGTAACTTCATATAGAAAATAAAAAAGAATGGCTGTGTTATTAACTGCTATCTGGAATCACTCTCTGGCTAGACTGGAATAACATACTATGAATTAAAGTAATAAAACACCACATAGAGACACTGAAAACCAGAAGTGGGGCTAGAGAGGTGTTTCTCTCCCTTCTGTTATATATATAGTGGTCTTGCAGTTAATAACCCAGCTCTAATGGTAACCAAGGGTGCATTTTCTGGGGGAAGCAGACAAGCATGTACCCCTGGTTATGTGATAATAATGTGGTTGACTCTGGGTATAGAGGCTGCATGTTTTCAAGCTTGGGGGAAGATAACCTCTTCAAATGCCAAGCCAACAAAAACTTCTAATATGATCTAGGTTAGTGGTCTCCAAAGAGGATCCCCCAGAGATCGACATTTTTTGGATGGAAAAGAAGACACCTGAACTTATATTTTTAGTAATTTTTAATCTCCTTTACATTTTTAGTATATTTTATAACATGTTTAATATGTTAGTATAGTAGTACATGCATATTATTTATAGATGAAGCTGTGTGTTTACTACACTACACATATAGTATACAATACTATATGTATTGATCAGATGCATGGTCAAAAAAAATTAGAGACCACTAATCTAGAAATAAATGGATAAGTTACAGATACCAATCTGTCTCCAAAACTACCGATGAATAAGAAAAACCTTGAGATATTTAGGATTTTTATGTCATGAACTTAAAAATGTGAGCAATAGCTATATCCTACTTGGTATTCAGGGTAACCCCAGTTCCCCTTCACTTTTCCTCTAAGCGCCTTTCCTGGAACAGAAGCAGATTCCCCTTTCTGGGCCCAAAGTCTCAGTCATCGCTGAGGCTCTTTGCTTCCTCTTCTTTCTCAGGAGCTTCTACCACCACTTCTTCTCTTCTTCTTCCTGGATCAAGGTATTGTCAAACTGCCTTGTACCCAGAGGGACTCCTTTCCCAGGACCTAATTTAACTGCTTCCCAATGGAGTATGTATCCAAGATTTCACTTGGGCTTGTATACTATGCTCAACCATTTGTTTCAGTAGAATATCATTATCTACTACTCTCCCATGTCCTGAGAGAATTGTTAGTTTCTTCTGTCCCTGGAAAATTATGGAGTTCCTTAAGAGCTACTTCTAGCCTGATAACCTTTACACTGCATTAACCAGTGTCAAAGTCACCCAGTTGTTGTATAGCTAAGTCTGGTAAAGTTGGCTTAATCTGGAGTGGGGAAATGCCTTTCAAGAAAATACAAGTAGCTCCTATGAATTACACTGTAGATTAAAAACCCCTAACGGCTCCAAAAGGGAGACAATTTCGTTATTTGAAGAAAATAAATTCATATCAGCTGGTAACTAAAGATTTTGTTTATTCTTTATAACACCAAGGATGTATGGTAGTCAACAAATAGGGTTCAGTAGTAGAAAGTTAATCTCTGTAAAAATTATTACTTAGGAAACAAGAATGCGAGACATAGCGAGACATAAAATGGTGTCTCTAATAGAACATGGCCAGGTAAGAGCGTTAGGCTGCCCACAGAGCTGACGGGCTGAACAAAGGAATGCAGAGGGAGACCCCTGAGGGAGCAAACCCAGGGCTGGATGGAGAAGACCAGAACTGCTGCTTCCCTGCTCCCACCTCTTACGCAGGGTTGGCCTGGAGAATGGCCCTGAGAGAAGAGCCCGTGGTGATGCCTCAGAATTAAGCCAGGAGGTCAAGGAGACATCCTTCACTTTCTCGAAACATGTTGCTCCAGCTAACACTACTGGGTGTTTCCCCATTATTTGCGTCTCTATACCCCAAAGCATTTCATGGTACATTTAGTCTTTGTGACTAGAATGCAGTGAAATGTTGACTTTCCCACGCTTCCCTGACCTGAGACTGTTTGTAAACAGGGTGCTTGAAGGTTTGCTCACGCTACCACTTCTTCTGTGATGATGGCTGTTGCATTGACATCACCCTGGCTTGTGATGGAGTGGAGCAGTGTCCTGATGGGTCTGATGAGGCTTTCTGCCAAAACCGTGAGTCCACTGCATGGCCTTTTCAGGCAAGGCGGGAGAAGAGATGTCTGTATCCTCATAATAAAATGCAAACTCAGGATTGCCCTTTTTCTACTTTAGCTATAACTTCATGTGAATAACTTCATGTGAATAAGCTATGCCTTACATTAGGTGAGCATTTACTAGGAGTCTTAATCTGAGTTATAAATGTCAAACTTTTTATATTGCTTACATTTTTCGAAAATTGCTTTCAGTTTTCCAAAAGATTCTTCCCCATCCTAAAAAAGCTGTGTAGAATATGGTTTTTAAAGACAATAAAGTGAGTTAAGATTTTATTTTGATCAATGTATTTTGAAAATTTATGATGTACTGGGATGTGCCTAAATCAGGACTATAAATCTGTCTTATAATGTCATCCAGATACATAGAAGGGCACCACAAAAAAGAAGAAAAGCTTCAGAAAGTGTAAAGTGAAGCTTCTGGTTTGAAGAAAGATGTAGAATCTCTCAACCTTAGGTTTAAGCTTTGTTTTTGTCAATTTATGTGTGACATTTAGAAAGTCAATTATTGGAAGAAGAGAAAACAGGTTACCCATTTGAAGACAGAGGAGTTTTTTATGGGGCTCTGACATGCCTCAGATGGTTATTATTCCCAAATATCCATGACTTTAAATCTACTGCAAATTTAGGGTTTTTTTTTTTTTAAGATTTACTTATTTATTTGAGAGAGAGAGAAAGAGGAGGGGGGGAGGGGCAAAGGGAGAGGGAGGTAAGCAGACTCCCCACTGAGCTCAGAGCCCAACATGGGGCTGATCCCATGACCTTGAGATCCTGACCTGAGCTGAAACCAAGAGTCTGCCAGCCACTTAACCGACTGAGCCACCCAGGCACCCCACCAAATTTAGTGGTTTTAATTACAGTTCAGAAAAGAAACCCAACAACTAACAGTAGCTCTTCCGTGTTCCAGTGAGCCTTGACCAGAAGATGGTGACCCACACAGTGACTGCCCAGCCTAGAACCACAGGACCAAGAAAAGATGCAGCAGGAAGCTCCTTCTTGGAAAAGTCCCAGAAAGTCACTGTCCAAAACCAGCCACCAGCATTATCAAATACGGAGAAGAGGAATCATTCCATGTTTTGGGGATCAGAGAGTCAAACCGATCCTGTGATGCCAGGTAAGGAGCTGAGCAGGTGCTCCAGAAACAGCCTCATGTTCTATAGTGACGCTTGGCTTCAAAATTCAGGTTATATTTGTTTTTTGTTTGTTTGTTTTGTTTTGTTTTGTTTTAACTTTGTGTCTTTTTTTTTTAAAGATTTTTATTTATTTATTTGACAGAAAGAGAGACAGCGAGAGAGGGAACACAAGCAGGGGGAGTGGGAGAGGGAGAAGCAGGCTTCCTCCTGAGCAGGGAGCCTGATGCAGGGCTCGATCCCAGGACCCTGGAATCATGACCTGAGCCGAAAACAGACGCTTAATGACTGAGCCACCCAGGTGCCCCAAAACTCAGGTTATATTTGAAGAGTGTTAAGGAAATACAAGAAAGAAGAGAGTTAAAATGAAGAATTAGGCCAAAAATGAAAAAAAACTATTTGCACTGACTATTTATAGTAAAGAACCTACTAAATACATTCATACATACTCCAGAGATACCAGTACATTTATTAGTAAGTAAGTTAGAACTAGGCAATTTCAACACCTGTATTAAGGAAACAAATGCCCTAAGTGTTAAATTTTAGGTTTTAAGTGTTAATTTTGAGATGAAGCAGCATAACCCCTATGTATTCATGTAAATCCTCTTTACACTAAGCAAGTGAATGTGAAGAAAATGTATCATATGGAAATGGTTTCATGTGCCAGTATTTCAGTGTTTTTGTCCCCAATTTAACTAAATCTGTAATTTTTTGTTCTTTCTAATAAGGCTAATAGATTTTTAAATATATTCACACTGCTGAAGCATTAGCATTCTATCATCTTAAATTTATTTTTGCACATTTGTATTTGTTGATGACATAGACAGAAATATAGAATCTCCCATTTCTGTACACTTTTGTAAATGTCCTTTCAGTACTCCAACTCTGCCTACATTATACGGAAATAATCTGTCACTATTGTAATAACTTCTTGATGACAATTTTTTGTTCATTGCAGGAGATGCAAATAATAAAAAAGGAAAATGACTTAAAACACCACACTTTACTGAAAACAGATTTTACTATTTTGGTATATTTCTTTCCAATCTTTTGTTTATCTACTGTTTAGATTTTAAGTGCCTCTACAGATCCATGCACAAAATATTCCGCGATGGGCTCAGATTTAGGCGCTTTCAGAGCCCTGCGTTGGGTCTCTTCCTTGTTCGTACTGCCATCTGCTGGGCAGCTCAGTCAGTGCATCCACGCCTTGTTTTAGTCCGGTTTCTCCGAATGTAAGGTCTGGCTCCCTGAGGCCAGAGTCAGGGGAGACCAAGGTTCTGGGCCGGAGGGCTGAAAGGATGAGGAGCTGGCGGACAGGACTGAGTTCTCGGAGGCCAGGACCGATGGACTCCCACTGCGACTCTGCGGTAGAGAGGCTCACGCGAGGGTGAGTGGATCAGCTGACGGCAGAGTGGAGACCAAAGCCCACGTCTCCTTAACTTAGGTCCAGTCTTGGCTCTGCCTTTAGAGCCTTGAGCAAGCTGCTTCATACTCTGGACCTGTTCGCTCAGCAGTGAGGAAGGGATTTCAACCAGACGGCCTTGAAGCCCCTGTGTAACACGGGGAGTGCTTCCGGAACGATCCATAGTCCGATGCTTGTGCCCTCATCCCGGCCAGAGACTGATCCCAGTGCTGGCTCCCGGGCGGTGAGGATTCAGCCTCAGAATTTCTTTGAAAACAATACTCCAGGCTGCACCACCACTTGATGGGAGCCAGCACTCAATTTGAAATGTCTCTGCAATCTCTGCTTTGTCCTTTTTGATAATAAGCCTCTGACTTTGGCTATAAAGATGTAAAGAATGGAGTTTCACAGATGCAGAGAGATTAAAAGTCCAGTTATGGGGCGCCTGGGTGGCTCAGTCGTTAAGCGTCTGCCTTCGGCTCAGGTCATGATCCCAGAGTCCTGGGATCGAGCCCCGCATCGCATCGGGCTCCCTGCTCGGCGGGAAGCCCTCTTCTCCCTCGCCCACTCCCCCTGCTTGTGTTCCCGCTCTCGCTGTGTCTCTCTCTGTCAAATAAATAAATAAATAAATAAATAAATAAATAAATAAATAAAACCTTTAAAAAATAAAAAAAGCCCAGCTATTCTTCATAATACATATATTGTTTTTCCTAATGATTAAAGTAATACATATTTACTGTAGAAAATTTGAAAAGTACAGAAAAATATAAAGAAAAAAATTAAAACCACCTAGCAAAATTCACCATTAATATTTTTTTGCATTTTTTTCTGTTCACTTGAATTTATATGCATATGTACATGCATTTATTCACTTTTTTTTAGTATACTTAATGTACAGTGTTCTAGTTTCAGGTGCACAATAGAGCGGTTCAACAATTCTATACATTACTCGGTGTTCCTCCTGATAAGTGTGCTCTCAATCCCCATCTTTCACGCCTCCCCGACCCACCTCCACTCCGGTAACCATCAGTTCGTTCTCTGTATTTAAGAATCTGGTTTTTTTTTGTTTTTGTTTCATTTTTTTCTTTGTTTTGTTTCTTAATTTCAGTGAGTGAAATCGTGTGGTATTCATCTTTCTCTGTCTGACTTATTTCACCTAGCCTAATACCCTTTAGGTCCATCCACATTGTTGCAAATGGCAAGGTTTCACTCCTTTTTATGGCTGAGTAATATTCCATTGTGTATATGCACCACCTCTTCTTTATCCATTCATCTATGGAGGGGCCCTTGGTTTGCTTCCATATCTTGGCTATTGTAAGTAATGCTGCTATAAACAAAGGGGCTCGTGTCTCTTTTTGAGTTGGTGTTTTGTTTTCTTTGGGTAAATACCCCAGTAATGGAATTGCTGGATCATATGGTAATTCTATTTTAAATTTTTTGAGGAACCTCTTGTGTTGCTTTCCACAGTGATTTTACCAGTTCACATTCCCACCAACAGTATACAAAGATTCTTTTTTTCCCATGTCCTCATCAACACTTGTATTACTTGTTTTTTGGGTTTAGCCATCTGACAGGTGTGAGGTGATAGCTCATTGTGGTTTTGATTTACATTTCCCTGATGATTAGTGGTGTTGAGCATCTTTTCATGTGTCTGTTGGCTATTTATATATCTTCTTTGGAAAAATGTCTATTTAGATGTTTTGCTCTTTTTTAACCAGATCATTTGTTTTTTGGTTTTTCTGTGGGGCTTTTTGGTGTTAGTTTTATTAAATTGTTTATATATTTTAGATGTTAACCCATTACTGGATATATCATTTGCAAATATCTTCTCCCATTCAGTAGGTTGCCTTGTCATTGTATTGATGGTTTCATTTGCTGTGCAAAGCTTTTTACTTTGATGTAGTCCCAATACGTTAATTTTGTTTTTGTTTCCCTTGCCTAAGGACACATATCTAGAAAAATGTTTCTACAGCTGATGTTAAGAAATTACTGCCTATGTTTTCTTCTAGCAGTTTTGTGGTTTCAGATCTCACATTTAGGTCCTTAATCCATTTTGAGTTTATTTTTGTGCAGGGTATAAGGAAGTGGTCCAGTTCCATTCTTTTGCATGTGGCTGTCCAGTTTTTCCAACACCATTTATTGAAAGGACTGTCTTTTCCCCATCGTATATTCTTGCTTCCTTTGGCCATATAGTTGTGGGGTTTTTTTTTATTTTCTATCCTGTTCCATTGATTTATCTATTTTTGTGCCACTACCATACTGTTTTGATTGCTACAGCTTCGTAATATATCTTGAAATCTGGGATTGTGATACCTCCAGTTTTGTTCTTCTTTCTCAGGATTGCTTTGGCAATCCTACAACACTGGGATTTTTTGTGGTTCCATAGAAATTTTAGGATTATTTGTTCTAGTTTTGTGAAAAATGCTATTGGTATTTTGATAAGGATTGCATTAAATCTGTGGATTACTTTAGGCAGTGTAGACATTTTCACAATATTTGGTCTTCCAGTCCATGAGCATGGAATGTCTTTCCATTTGTTTGTGTCAGTTTCAGTTTCTTTCATCAGTGTTTTATAGTTTTCGGAGTTCAAGTCTTTCACCTCCTGGATTAAGTTTACTCCTAGATATTTTATTCTTTTTGGTGCAGTTGTAAATGGGATTTTTTTCTTAATTTCTCTTTCTGCTATTTCATTATTAATGTATAGAAATGCAACAGATTTCTGTATATTAATTTTGTATCCCACAACTTTACTGAATTCATTTATCAGTTCTAGTAGTTTTTTGGACATTTATTCACTTTTAACAAAATTAGGAACATGTTAGGTATACAAAACTTTTATTTTTCTCAGGAGTATATTCATGTGCTATTACAATCCATCAAAAACAAAAACTTTTTTAAAAACAAACACACAAAAAAACCAGATTCATAAGTGCAGAGAGCAAACTGATGGGTGCTAGAGGGGAGGTAGGTGGGGGATGGGTGAAGAAAGAAAACACAATATTTGAAAGTCCAGGCTGAAGAAAGTGGGAAGAAAAGGCCAGAACTTTGAAAATGTTTGATAGGGCCCTCACAACATGCGGTTTGTTGAGACAGCAACTATCTCCTCCCTCCCCCTCCCTGAGACCACCACACTAGCGTCCCCAGCCTCCAATTTCATGTGAGGTAAGGTATGCTCTACCCAGCATAACATAAATCGATTTTAAAATGCTCCACTGTTGGCAACCTGTGCCTGGGTTTTGCAAAGATCATCAGCTAGTACAATACATATGGACAAGTTAAATTTTCTGCCACTTCCTTCCCCCACAGACATGTTGTGAGGATAAAAGAAACTTAACTCAAGGCGCCTGGGTGGCTCAATCGTTAAGCGTCTGCCTTCGGCTCAGGTCATGGTCCCAGGGTCCTGGGATCGAGCCCCGCATCGGGCTCCCTGCTCCTCGGGAAGCCCGCTTCTCCCTCTCCCACGCCCCCTGCTTGTGTTCCCTCTCTCGCTGTGTCTCTCTCTGTCAAATAAATGAATAAAATCTTTAAAAAAAAAAAGAAACTTAACTCATTGAAGATTTGTTAAAGAGATACTAGGATTAA